ACTATACATTGAATGTCTCCTCACACGGGAACTTGGCATGGATAATATGGCCATGCAAACCGTCCTTACATATGTGGCACATCTCGGCGCAGGGAAACCTGCCAAAGTTTTCGGCTATATCCCCGATTACAAGGGAAACCTCAATCTTTCAGACGACAGCAAGTTTCACCCGCGCGTACATCTAGCACTACAGTATCTCGTGCGAAACTACTTCCGAGTAGAACATGTAGTAGCAGTTAGATTGGCCAAAAGTGTGTCAAGCCTACCTGCAGTAAAGTACGCCACCGGGTCCACGCTGATCCACTATGACAACGATATCAGCCCGGCTTTCCACTACTACGAATGCGTGGGCACCGGCCTAAACATTTCTCAGATCACTGGTAGCACTCACTCCAGACTTATTCAATGCTTGACTTCACGTGTCCCTTCCTTAGGATTTCACGACGACCTGGCTAAATATCAGCACTCAAGCAACACGTCTGGAGAACACGATTCGCCTGGAAACAGGCCTCCTCCAGACACCCCTGGTGCTTCATCGCCGAGTGAAGGCCGTCTGTCGACAATCTATGAGGAAAATGAGGAACATAATATCGAAGCTATGATGCTGGAAGAGTGGTACGACGAGCTACGTATGGACCTTCATCCTACGACGACTACCGACGATTATCTCTACTGCGTCCCAACAACCATGCTGCCTGACCAATGTGTTTTGGTTTCAGCATCTGTGGACGAAGAAGATATCATATCATCGGACACGCTCGGAGACGAGCCTGAACCACGAGAGTCGTGTCTAGTCTCTCTCTCTGCTCAACCACACCTGACGAGAACTACTCTCCTGACAGTGATGAATATGGTCCTTACGTTGAGTTATGTTTTACATCAGAAATGTCAAAAGTAGTACTGGATCAGACTCAACTTGCACAGCTCGACACCGATATGGTCGCAACGATGAGAGTATATGTATCCTCTGCTGCTAAACGTGCTGTGGTCGTTAAAAAGACGATCTATTGACCAAAGCCGACATAGCAGCACATCCAAAGGAGGTTAGTGAAGCTTTGTATACTGAACTCAAAATCTGGATCGACAACCGATGCTTTGAGATGTATGATTGTTCCAAAGCTTCCAACATAATGACATCCAGGTATGTGTACAAGTGGAAGTTTGTAAAGGTGGGTACCGAGAACGTTAAAACCATTCGTCTCAGACTTGTCCTTCGTGGATTTATGGATACTGAGGCTTTCGACGTAGAAACATTCTCGGGAACCGCCCGAAGGCAATCCCAACGACTCCTGGCAAGTGAGGCGGCATGCCATCCAGAATGGATCTTAGCATCCATGGATATCGACAAGGCGTTCCTCAAGGGTTTGACCTATGAGGAACTTGCCCATGCCACCGGCGAGGAAACTCGCATGGTCTGCTTCATTCTTCCACCGGGAAGTGCTCAGGTACTTCGTACACTACCCGGCTTCTCATCCTATGACGAAAGCCGACACTGCCTCAGATGCCTCAAACCAGGAACGGGTACAAAGGACGCTCCAAGAGCGTTCTCTCTCAAACTTCGTACGACCACACGAGCTATGGGCCTTGCACCGACCAGTTATGACCCTGAATTTGAATTCAGCCAAGATCTGCTAACGGCAAAACATGTCGATGATATTAACATGACTGGCCTAGAGAAAAATATAGACGACTATGTACAGCGTGTCGAAAAGGTGTTTGGCAAATGCAAGCTCAACAAACACACATATACGAACTGCGCCGTTCGCTACACTAAGAATGATCAAGGGGATGTGATTATGGATCAGGACGAGTATATCAAACAACTACGTCCTATCACACACCCAGAACTTACAGGAGCGGCGGCCGATGCCAAAGCCACGAAACTCATTACCGACATGTTCGTCAGCTTGCGAGGAGCCCTCGCCTATGCCCTTCTTACTCAAATCTGGCTCATGGTATACGTGGTCTCTCTCCAGAAAATCCAAGAGCCCACCAATCTGCAAGTCAGGCGCCTGAATGCTGTGACGCGAAAGCTGATCAGCAGCCCGAAACGCATCACCTTCCCTCGGATGAAGCCGACGAATGAAGTTGACATCCACAGCGATTCGGGGTATCGGAAGCTTACCGGGGAGGAGGATGATGAGACCAAGGGCTACGGCATACGCGGGGCGAATGTACTACGGCGAGGAAACTCGCCTCAAGGCAAGTCCGTCGTTCACCTCTGTGACGGACTATGCAAATCACACCGACTGCAGGTGAGGTCCAGCTATGCTGCGGAGGCACTCGCAGCGGCGCATAACCTCGATGAGTGTTACCCTACGCTCATCACTCTCCACGAGCTCAAGGCAGGAGCTCTGACTCCACGACAACTACGAGATATGCGTGAAGTTGGAGGCCTAGCCATCAAAGTATCTCTTACCATAGACGCTGAGTCCGTTTATAAATCATTATCAAGCAAGGATCTTAAGATACCGACAGAGCGGACTCTGCTTGGACATATCAGTTGGATACGTGAGCTCATGGATATAGGTATAGTACATAACGTGCAGTGGTGTGATACTAGGGATATGACCGCAGACGGGCATACAAAGGGAAGCATCGATCGGGAGCTGCTTCTGGAAGTGATGTCAGGCACTCAGTCATTCAAGTATGACGTGAAGCAGTTTGTTCCCTTTCGGGGTCCCGAGGACAGAAACAAACCCAAGTCTAATCAATTTTAGTCTGTCCTTGTTGCCCCCCGCGGTCCAATTTGCCAGCATGGGCGCCTACTACAGAGGCGCCCTTCTAGTTGCTCGGAAACGAGCCTTACATTTCACGCCTGGCAACGAGCCGGCTTTACATGACTCAGGCTCTTTGCCTTAATACATATTTGCTCGGTGAGGTACGGCCCGTTTGGCTTACCTCTAACTGAGCCGATAGCCCTTCATCGTTCGAAGGGGCTATCTTGTATTTGCGTGAAATGCCTTGCGAGGAAACTCGCCTTACAGTCTGGTGTTAGGCCAGACTGTACACACTGTTTTCTTTCTTGCAAACAGTTGTGCGCGCGGCCTTTGTAGAGCCTAACGGCTGCGCGGCTATGCTCTCCGTCTCCTCCCCTCCCGACTTTAAGGGTAGCTCTTTGGGAGATGTTATAGTATCGGGAGCATAGCTCGCGCGCCGTTGCCTTTGGCTCAAGGCACGCGCGCCCTATTTGCCCGGACACCGCGAGTGTTCGCTATGTGCTGGAAAGACCGATACATCGATCTTATCCTATCTTATCCGTCCATTCCTCTTACTGAACCACGTCAGTACGATACCGGACGCTATTTGCCATCCGATGTCTACGGAATCGGATGCTATTTGAGTTACCAGGCTCACTTTCGACTCCTTGGCCGTGCCCTCCCTCGCCGCCTTTGCCGCCGCCGCCCAGGCACCCGACGGCCCAAGCGCGGGAACGCTGGCCTGTGAGGCGCGCCGCCTGCACGTTGTCGCAGCATGCTGTCGTTGCGATCAGCTGGTTCATGTTTGGGCCATCCCAGCTTCGCTCCTGCTGAACCCATGGTGCGGGCAACGGTTACGCCCTGCGAAAAAAGGCCATCCGCAGTCGCCTTGAGCGTCTGTGTCGGATCGCAGTTCGCCTTGCCCGCAGTGGCAAGAGCGACATAAGGCGGGCTTTCGCTAAGTTCGACTCGACCGAAGTCTCGCTCCTTGGATTGGCTACCCATGTCGCAGCGCTTGAGGCTTGGTTCACTTCCTCCTCCCAAGTTCCCGCCCCCATGTGGCAACTTCCCGTCGGCGCTTCGCCGTTAGTTAGCTCGCTGGCGGCCTCGGCAGGCCCGTATAGTCTACCCAGGCTGAGCCTTCCGACCCTCGGGTCCAGGCATCCCGCACCACTCCGTGCTTGTCCAACGATCTGGTACGAACCGCTTGTCATGACCCCGAAGTCATGCGACTGCCAGAGGACGAGCGGCATTCCGGTTTTTGTTGGGTGCTCGCGTGCACATGGACCGCGAGCAGTTGTGGGAACTCCTGCGCAAGTGTGGACTCCTACGGCCTGAGGCGCCCTGTATCTGACTCCCTCCAACGACCTCGCCTGGGACGAGGCTTATGGAGCAAAGGATGAGTCTTATGACCGGCTCATTCTGAACCTCACGGTAGAAAACAGTCGCCTTGGCTTTACCGGGGAAACCGTTGAGTCGCTTAGGGGGATGTATCAATTCCATCGCCTGGCCCGCGTGGCTGCCCAGAAAGGCAAAGTCCTCACATGCATTGCCGTTGCAAGTGACATTTCGCGCGGCGCTCGACTAAGCTCCGAGCTCATTCTGCCGCTGCCGTACCTTGGATCAGTGGAACTCTCTGCGTTGACGCTGGGCCTCCTCCTCGTCCTCCTCCCCCTTCTCCTCCTGTTTTCCTCTCATTGTCCCATGTCTCCTCAGGAGGGTTTGGCGGTCAGAGGTGAGGGAGGAGGAGGAGGAAGATGAGGAGGAGCAAGAGGAGATGGGGGAGAAGGAGGAGGAGGAGGAGGACGGGGAGCTGATTCCAGGCGGTTTGGGGGGGGATCCTGCGCAAATGCCACCGAAGGGGTTCCAGGGGCTCCCTCCTCTTCCCCGTCTGCATTCGTCCTCCTGCCTTGGGAGTGCAGTTCGGCTTCGATTCAGATTGCTCTGAGACAAGAGATGGGAGGAGCGACCCTCCTCCTACTCCTCTTTCGTCCTCCTGCCTCATGCACACTGTCTCCTCTCTCTTCCTCCCTCGTCGCCCCTTCGCCTCCGCGCGCATCTGTGCGCGCAAAGCCCTGCGGAGCTAAGCGGCCCACACCACGTCTCCAGACGATTACAAAGGCATGACGTGGCATGGGCTACGTTTTCCGTAGCTCCCCCGAACTCGTGCCGAGGGAGCCCCCTGGATCGGGACTCGCGGCGCCGTGCCGGCGTGGGACTCTTTCGGACGCCGTTTCCCCATTTCCCCTCGGTGGCGCGCGATCCCGCATCCTGCCCTCTTTCTGCCCCCTCCCTGGGCAGGTGAGGCAGTACCAGGACTTCGTGGAGAAGGCCCCGCGGCGCCTCCCGGGGGCACTGCGCGGCGCAGGGGGCTTGCCGGGGCCACCCGCTGGCGAGGGCCTCGTTGGCCCGCGGGGGGAGGGGAGAGGAGGAGGAGGAGGAGGAGGAGGAGGAGGAGGAGGAGGAGGAGGAGGAGGAGGAGGAGGAGGAGGAGGGAGGAGGAGGAGGAGGAGGGAGGAGGAGGGAGGAGGAGGGAGGGGAGGAGGAGGAGGAGGAGAGGAGGAGGAGGAGGAGGAGGAGGAGAGTAGAGGAGGGGCAGGGGGCTGGCGAGGGGGGCAGCGTGCCCCGCCGCTCGCATCCCCTGGGTGAGGGTACCGCTGCTTGACCCAGAGAGCTTGACCCTCCTCCTCCTCCTCCTCCTCCTCCTCCTCCTCCTTCTCCTCCTCTCGTCACCACGGCACGGTTCTCCCCGAGAGGGCGCGCCAAGGGAGAGGCATGGGCAGCAGAGCGGTATCAGAGCCTCCTTACCTACCCATGGTCTTCGTCTGTTCTTCATCACTCCGTGCGCACTGTGAGCGAGCCCCACTCAAGACACAATGTCAAGTGCTACGAATGATAATCGGGTGTGGCAGTCGCCGCGTTCCAGCCGCCGATGCTTCCAAGTCGGCGTTGCTGGGTCCTGTTTGTTCTTCTTTGCTTTCTTCTAGAAACAATGTCGATGACGAGGTGGAGGAGGATGGGGAGGAATATAGTGTTGAATCCTAAGCTGCTTGGTTGACGAGAACGACGCGGAATATCGAGGTGCAGCTAGACGCGTTGGGCGTGTCTGATGGCATGAGACAATATTGGAGACGAGATTGCGTCAATCAGGCTAGCTGAACGATAATCTGCACCACACAAATGATATCACGCACTTCTTGTTTGGGAGCCTGGGCGCACGTAATTGTGCGAGAAGGGATCGTACGGGGAGGCCCCCTCGAAGATGGGAAGATCGTGTACGGGCGCTTGTGCATCTTATTATGGCGCGGGCGTAAAGTGGACGGCCCAAGCTTCGAATCAGCATGTGTTGGATGACCTGGAGACGTGCTGCGCGGACCTCTGAGCGAGGCTCTCTTCATCCGTGCCATTGCGTACCAGGGCGGGTCGCTCACGCCCCGGCAGAGCACCACTGCTCTCCCCCTCACTGTAGTCAGCCCTCCAGCTGTGTAGTGCGAGCCCGCGTCCGAGCCCACGGGCTCCAGGGGGGGACAGGTGGGGGGGATGGTTTCCGTCCTCCACCTCTCTCCCCCCGTCAGCCGTCCCCCTCCGTCCTCCCGTCCCCTCCCGCTCCCTGTCTCCCCTCCCGTCCAATCGTTCACCTCCCTCCCTCACCCCACCCCGTCCTCGTCCCCCCCCCCTCACCATTCTCCCTCCCCCTCCTCCCAATCCCTCCGCGCGCGCGCGCTGGTGAACGATGTTGACGTACGCAATCCCGCCCAAAGCTCCCTCAGGAGTTCCACGACCGCGACCACCCGCGACAACAGCAGTGGCGACCACGATCACGATGACGACCACGATCACGACCACGATTACCACAACTAGGACGATGGCGCTCCACGCCGCCAGCGCCGCCGAAGGACGCCGAGGGCCGCTGGATGCATCGGAGGGCCTCTGAGGGCCGTGGAGTGCCCCCCCCACCGGGGCAAGCCGCGCGCGCGGAGGTGCGGCTGTGGCAGGGCGAGGCCGCCGAGCGCGAGCGCGAGGCTTGCAAGCTGGCGCTGGCGCAGCGCAGCTTCTCGAAGCAGGCGGGCGGGGCAACCGCTGTTCTTCGGAGGTCGGCGACGGCCTCGAGGCCGGCGTCGACCATCGTTTTCCGCCGCCTTCGACATGGCCGTCCCGCGTTGGTGTGTGTGTGTGTGTGTGTGTGGTGTGTGTGTGTGTGCGGCCTCTGGAGGTCGGCGACGAAGTCGAGGCGGGAAAGGGGAAGGGCGTCGTCTGAGTACGGTGGGAGGGAGGGGGGGGGAATTTTGAACCCCTCTCCCCGCCACCCCCCCGCCTGGGAGGATTTTCAAAGGGGTGATCTCCGAGAGGAGGCGGGAGCGGTTCTGGAGAGGAGTGCGTGGGGTTTTCGTGTTGGGGGGTTGATTCCAGATTGTGGGGGGGATTGTGCACAAGTGAAGCTCTTCTGGGTCCTGGGTCGACATCGATTACCGGTGTTCGATCTTATGCAGTCGCTCGTGTAGTTTTTCCCTCGCCGGTTCGTGCGCCATTGGCGTCCCAGTGCCCCCGTTTAGGCTACGGACGCGGCTCGCGGTCGCAATTGTTGCGACCAACGCACAATTCAAGGAGTTCGGCTTCGAGCGGCCAGTTCTGGGCCCGGGGGCCCTCAAAAAGCGATCGGGGATGACACGTTTGCAAAACGGACCCTGGGAGGGGTCAGGGATCCGATTTCGTGTGACCGGCTTTTGTCCACGACGTCTACGTTTTGGAGGGTGAAAGAGGGGGTCTGCAACAGGGGGTCTTCAATGGGGGCTGACTGGCCCATGTATGCTCAATGTATCGCTCATGTATGTGATCGGGTACGACTGGCATCCAATGCTGGCGGTCATTGGCGGCCAGTCATTCGTGCCCGCGCGTTGCCCGCGCGGGCGCACGCGCCGTCCATCCATTATCGTTCATGCGTGCGGGCGTTCTTGCATATTGCGCGTGGGTCGGCGAAGTGGAGTGCAAGTGTGTCTTGATTGTGCGGTTGATGATCGCGTATGTTCCCAAACGATGACTTCTCGACCCCCAAGACAGATTTGGAATGGGCCCCGCGATTCTTCCAAAATGTGAATTCACATTTTCCTTTTTCCCAAAATGTGAATTCACATTTTCCTTTTTCCCAAAATGTGAATTTACATTCTGGCCCCTTCATAAAGAATCCTACACAAAATTCCAAAATGTGAATTCACATTTTCCTTTTTCCCAAAATGTGAATTCACATTTTCCTTTTTCCCAAAATGTGAATTCACATGTTGTTTTTCCCCACAATGTGAATTCACATTTTGCCCTGGCCTTCAAGATCCCCAAAACTGAGGCGCAGTGTTCCGCATGCCAGATTGGCTGGGCAGATTTCGACACTCACCCGACCGCTTTCGTGTGTTCCAGCTTGTTCTTGTTGCGCCCTTAGCGCACGTTGCCTTCGTCGCCTTTCCCGAGCCCCCCGACCCCTTGCTTCCTTTCCCCTCAAGTCTCGCGCGCGGGCGCAGGCGGGGGGCTTCAATTAGTTCACCCGCCGAACACAGCAATCGAGGATGCATCGCCCATTCATGACTTTAAAAAACATCATTGCCGGGACCCTGCGCCCGACCCCCACTTTCACCCTCCAAACGTTTTCGCTTCCGAGGTCCAGTTGCTTCTTCGAGATTCTCGTCGCAACGATTGGAGGCGGGCGGCCTCGAACATCTGCCAAGATTGAACCTGGAAGGTGTCCAGGAAGTCATAATGAGCGGATGTTGGTTGATTTCTTTCTGGGTCACCTGCAGGGGTGCGAGGTTGATTCTGCGGAGCGTTCGCAGGTTTATATAAGGAGCCCTACTATTGCCTCCAGATATTTAGGATCAAACTCCTGGGAGATTAGAGTCAGCATCGGCGCTGGCATATCCGTGGTCACCGGGCTAATCCAGCATAAGCCCAAGCAACCCAGCGCAATCCTAGCTCAGTCTGGGCGAATCCGGCTCACTATCCCCTCCATTGGGCTTAAGAATAATCTTTCTTGCGCGGGTCTCCCAGGAGTTGCGCCTTCGTGCAGGTTTTGGAGGCAATCTCGTGTCAGGAGGGAAAAAACGCACAGACACGATTACTCGTCGATTCCCCAGAAACATAGGAAAGTATGGGAAGTGGGGGGGAGGACGAAGACCTGGAACATATGGGAACATATGGGAACATATGGACCTGTTATTTGTGTGCACTTCTTCGTGTGTCCCAGGGCCCCCCCATCGTGAGCGAAGAGCACGTCCGCATCTGCGGCCCCGCGGGCCGGCCCTTGGGGCCGCGACCCCGCGGACACAGGGCGTTTTTTTCTAGCGGGCTGCCCCGCGCGGAACGCACCCGTGTGCCCGCGCATCCGCGGTAGGGCTGGACCTAAACGGTGCTTTTGGCGATTTCGTGGGCCGTTTTCGTTTCGACTTCGTTTTGAGGTAAAGGCGGATTCGAGACAAAAGCGAGGGAAAACAAAAACAAAACGAAAACGAGAAACACCGTTTAGCTTCAGCTCTGATCCGCGGGATCGCGCCGCGGAATCCAGACCGCGAGGGCGCGGATACGGATCCGTTCGCCGCTGGTGACAGCCGGCCTCGAACTTCTAAGCCCGCCCCAAAGATCGGCAAGCCCAGGGCGACGACGAGCTCAGGGAGGTGCCCTCAGAAGCGGAGGGAACCCTCCCGATCGGCGGCGGGGCAAGCGGATGCAAACACCTAGTGGATCTGTAGAGGGAGATCCACGCCTCGAGCCCGCGAGAGCAGGCGGCGGCCCCAGGCCTCCCTGGAGGGCGGCCGGGTCTCCCACGGCCAGCCGCGAGGCGCACCGCGCAGCGCTCGCCCGCGGCCGGCCCGGGCACGGGAGCCGCCCCTCCTGCGGGGCGGCCGCGCGAGGGCGCGGAGAGAGCCGCGCCCTCGCGGTGCTCCGAGCGTGCGGCGCGGGCCGTCGGCTCCTCCGCCGCTGGCGGAGGGAGGAGGTGGTCCACGCCACGCGCGGGAGGGGGGAGGAGGAGGAGGAGGAGGAGGAGGAGGAGGAGGAGGAGGAGGAGGAGGAGGAGGACGGGGAGGAGGAGGACGGCGAGGAGGAGGAGGAGGACGGGGAGGAGGAAGGGAGAAGGAGTCAGAGGAGGAGGGGGTGGTGGTGGTGGTGCAACGGTGGCATGGCGGTCAACGTGTGCTCACATCAGGAGCTATCTAGAAGACCCTCCAGAGAGCCCTGGAAGGAAAATTAGGCAGGAAGCCATAGTAGAGTTTGAATTCTTCACGCTTCGCGTATCCCCACCAGCCCATCTCAAAACAGCAACTCTTGCGAAGCATGCCGACAGTCGTGTTTTTCAGGCGTGTTTCCGCCTGCCCCCGCATATCTCCGGGCCTCTCGTCCTGGTGTGAGTCGTTCGGGCCCTTTTTCCTGGTGTGAGTCGTTCGGGCTCTTCGTCGTGGTTTGAGTCGTTCGGGCTCTTCGTCCTGGCGTGAGTCGTTCGGGCTTCTCGTGGTGTGAGTTGTTCGGGCCCTTCGTCCTGGTGTGAGTCGTTCGGGCTCCTCCTCCTGGTGTGAGTCGTTCGGGCTCCTCGTGGTGTGAGTCGTTCGGGGCCCTCGTCGTGGTGTGAGTCGTTCGGGCTCCTCGTGGTGTGAGTCGTTCGGGCGCCTCGTCCTGGTGTGAGTCGTTCGGGCCCCTCCTTGTGGTGTGAGTCGTTCGGGCTCTTCGTGGTGTGAGTCGTTCGGGCCCCTCGTCCTGGTGTGAGTCGTTCGGGCTCCTCGTGGTGTGAGGCGTTCGGGCACCTCGTCCTGGTGCGAGTCGTTCGGGCCCCTCGTAGTAGTAGTAGTAGTAGTAGTAGTAGTAGTAGTAGTAGTAGTAGTAGTAGTAGTAGTAGTAGTTAGTAGTAGTAGTAGTAGTAGTAGTAGTAGTAGTAGTAGTAGTAGTAGTAGTAGTAGTAGTAGT